GAGATATTAATTGAAAATGAGTTGCTCAAGCAAATATAGCCTTTAGCTAATTAACTGCCCCCATTTCCAGACACAAATGGACCCTCGGCGCAATTTAGGAAATCTTTGAAAATCTTGAGATTTCCCTTGCCGCATGCTCCCCAATTCTCTATTCGTGACCGATCGCGGATAGCCTCGCCCACGAAACCTCCTCTGTCGGCGGCGCTGGTCGTGGGGGATTTGACGGGATGTTTTTTGGTGACTAACACCATGGTCATTTCTGGACTCTGTTCTTCTGCACAAAAGTGCCCCTCCCCCCTCAGATTACTGGAGTTTAGTACAGGATGTTCCATACAAAATAATCTTTTTCAAAACAATTAAAGAACTGAGTGTTTATGCCACCCTGAATTTGTGATGAAGACATATGATATCATGTTCCTTTGTCAGTTCTCCCTCAGAACAAAACTGGAAAAAATGAATTTGTGTTTGTTTGCTTTTATATATATATGGATCATTTTGTATATAATGATAATTTCTGTTATCTATTTATCAGAACTAACTTTATATCTACCTTAGATAACAAAGGAAAAGTGCTATGATTCATATTAACTTTTTACTTACTGAAGTAACTTATATATCTTAGGTGTTTAAAACTAATAAGGAACTTCTTTTGTTTTTTCCAATCTCCCCACCACCCTTATTTGAAACCCAATGTTTGTTTCATAAATTAGGTAGACAAAAGAAAGGTTGCCCTTTTAATTGTATCATTGTGCCCCACTTCAAATCTAAAACCCTTTCTCTTTTTCATTTGTTAGTGGGGGGGGGCGTGGTGGTCCATTGCATGTCATTTACAATAAATTAGGAACTGACATTATGATAACATTTTGCTTTTGCTTTTATTTGTCAGAAAATGTTCAAACTTGTGCACCCCCCCCCCCCCCCCATACCGATTGTTTGATTCGCTCGTGACTCGGCCTACAGCTAATGGATTAGGATTGTCAGAATTAATTCCGAAATATGTCTCCTTTTCCCTGAATGTTCTGCAGCCAAGCATGAACCAATTTGACACTTAGAAGGAAGAGATTATGACGGGATGCGAACATTATGATATCAGTTTCACATTATTCAAGCATGCACCAAAAGCCCACATGGGCTCTACTGTAATCCAAGTGGTTCTCATTTCAATGTCTGTATTTTGATCCAGGTTCACACAATGGAACGTTTAATTTAAGTTTAATTCATGGTTGTAAACTGATTTATTAAAGCATGCACAGAAAGCCTGCGTGGCCTCTACCATAATTCAAGTGGTTCTTATTGCTTTGTCTGTATTTTTAGCCAGGTTCACACGACGGACCGTTTAATATAAGTTTAATTCCTGGTTTGAGGTTATAATGTAGTGTTACAAGGATCATGTGGATGCAGGATACACTTGTTTTTAAAGAAAATCCTTACTCAGAGTTTTTAACCAAAATCGATCTTATGGTTAATGCGAAAAATACTAACAAGGGGCCGGGGTCCCAACTCGATGTTATGTGCAGTGTGGACATCATTAACTTAAGTGTTTTGCCAGTTTGTAGTTCTAAAATATGCTTACCTAACTTGTGTTTCAAAACTTTTAACAGACATTGTTTTACAGCTGTATGAAACTTCATGTTTGCTAGTGGGTCTTGTTGAAAACATCAATGTTTCAAAAACTCTGAGTTTAAAACTATGACGGTGGCATGCGAACAGGGCTATTGATAGTAAGTTGAGCTGCATAGTTATTAATGGCTTAAAGCTGTCTGCTCCGTTGGCCTATATGTCAGTCTGAATATTCAATTGCGACAGTTGTTTTAATTAGTGCAGGCTGTGTTTAGCCCAAGACTGTGATTATTTTGGGTTCCTTTTCCTGCTTTGCGCTCTCGTTGTCGTTTCTCTGTCCTTGGCCGAGACATGCTTGACCGGCTGCTTGACCAACCACAATGGACGTGTCAATGCCAAAGGGTCAAGCCTGATCCAAATTGAAAATGATTTCATGCAGAAATTATAAAAATATCATCAACCTCTTCTTTTCAATAGCAGGAGAGTGTCTTCCTTTGAAAAGTTTTTTCTTAATTTTCCTTGTCTTTTCCCTCATTTCTGTATAGAATATCTGTTATTTATAGATGGTTTTTCAATTGTTGTAATGTTTTATTTCATAATTTTAAGCATAAGAGTGTAGTGGTTTATTAAAAATTCCTAAAACACAATGGCAACTTCACAAACATTTGAGGGGGAGATTAGTATAATGTATGAGAGCCCCCCCCCCCCTCCCCCTCCCAGTACTGCCCAACCCCAATTTCTTTCTTTCCTTTCATAATAATATAGGCCTCACTATTGAACCCTACATCATTTCTCCGCTAAGAGCCAGAAAGGCATTATACTTCTTCACAGAATTAGTTAATCCCCTTCTTGCAATTGACAGACAATACGTCCCAAGCCAGGCCTGCGTCCTTAAGGCTTTTTAGTCATATAATTTTTCATAGAACTTAGCTTCTTGCTCTCAAGAGACAATACACTATGTCCCAAGCCAGGGCTACCCTTGATTTCTTCGCAAATTCACTTTAACCCCCCAATTTGCAAGGTAACCTGAAAGAAAAAAATCAAATCAAGTCTTTACCAAGACTCCAGACATCAATTCAGTCATGACTAAAGCACCAACAAAAGAGGGAAAAGGGGGAAGGGGCTGGGCCTCAAATTTAGCCTAAACACCTAGTTTTACGTCTAGACTTCTTTCATCTGTTCCGTCATTTGATTTTCCTTTCTTTGTATTCTTTTTGCCATGCTGTATTGTTTATGGTATATTCTGACAAGTATTGATGTAGTTTGTGTTTTATTTTCTTGTGAGCAGGGGAGGGGTTAAAAAGAAAAGCATTTGAAAGTCAAGTTAATGAACCTCTACACCACAGTGGTACAGCATTATTATGAAATAAATGTAGTTATGAACATAATTATGAACATAATTATGACCATTTTTCACCATGAAGGCTAGATTGTGTAAAATTGACCTACAGCAAACTATACCTGACATTCTATAGGTTATGGTAAAGAAATATGAAAAACAGAAAAGGCTTACATAGAACCCTGAGTATGGAACCCAGTCTGTCCAACATATGTCAACTTGTCTACTCAACAAGTAATGTTCATGTTAACTGAGATTGTATTAGAACTGCAATATCTATTTGTAGTCGTAATATATGAACCTCATATTTTAAATACAGTATAGCGACACTAACCCCTTACTGTAAATTAAGAGCAAAACATCTTTTGATGATTGGTACACTTCAAAAGCTTCATTTTTTCCAAACTTTCCATTTTCTCCCAAATAATTTCCCCTCATTCATGCTCGGACATTCTGGCCATGAAGGCCATAGTGTAATGACCTCATGGGAGAGGTAATTCTCAGAGGAAAGGCTAGTATTAGATACTTCCTTGGACGAGGGGATAAAAACCTATTGGTCATCCATCCTGGTTACTAGCCTCGCTGACCACGAGGGCACTATTCGTATGAAATGTTACCAATAGGGCTGTCCTTCATCAGCTCGAGATTGCCAAATATCTCGCTATTTCAACTATCCCGATCACAGATTATCCAGTTAGTTGGCGTCTTCATCAGCCCGAGGTTGCAATTAGCGACCAACCCGAAGACTCGCACTATGGGCAAACGCTGAGCAAAATATCTCTAACTATAATTTCTCAAGTTTCAAGGTCGAATCTCGAGCTGATGAAGACGCGATTTGTAACTTGGGGATTATTTCCCAAATTAAAAATAGCGAGCTATTTGGCAATCTCAAGCTGATGGAGACACGCCTAGTGATACAACAAATATGTAATTTTGTTTTCATTGAAGCCTGAAACTTTCATAAAATGTTAACCTGTTAACTACTTTGTATGAAATTGCTGAAATGTTAGCAACAAATCCATTTTTACCCATCCAAGCCCGAAACTCTCATGAAATCTTAAAGACCGTCACCACTACTGGGCAAGAAGGGATTAGACCACACAGCGAGCCATCGAGGTCACTGTGACAGGTGGCTATCTCATTAACTCAGCTCTCATTTAACATGAGAATAAGAGGATCATGGGGGACCAACAGGCACCGATTGGGGAAGTTTTCTATATAGAGGGAGCAAGTAGCTACAAGTATGGCAGTGTGCCTTTAACCTGCTGACTACTGAATTCCCTCATTAACAAAATATAGGTTTTATAGTATACAGGAATAACTCAGTTCTGGGGGGGGGGGGTGTTTCATAAAGCTGTGTGTAAAGTTACGAATAACTTTACAAATAATTTGAATATGCAACGCCAAATGGGATGCCCAAAATTTTTCCTGACATTTTAACAAAGTGTGACTGTTTTTCCCATTAAATATCAATTAAATTGTAGCCAAAAATACACTTTGTATTAGGTTAATCTACATCTGCATATTTCAACTTTAGCTGATGTAATTTAAAGGGTTTGAGAATCCCATTTGCCTCTTAATTTGTAAAGTCATGCATAACTTTACGTACAGCTTTATGAAACACCCCCCTCGTACGCAAAAGGTTAAATAGAACCTCTTTTGTGACAGAATCTTTCAGGAAGTTTGACATTTTAATGTTGTAATCTAATCATTTCCCAGCATGAGAAACTCTTTGTTTTATCTTGACTGCTTGTGAAGTTCACAAAAGTGTCTGGTTTTAAAGTACCCATGAAGATGGAAACAAGAGAATATAACTGCACTGTGAACATTTGTTTTTCTACTTACTGGTAGTTGGTAGATCATTAACAAAAAGGTGGAGTCAAAATTTCAGATTCAGGAATTTAAAAGCAGTAACATAAATAAGCTCACCAATATTAAGACAATGTAGAGTAGTACCATGTATCTGACGCAATGCATGTATACGGTTGTTACAATACCACTAATTGTAAAGATTTTATAGACCAATGTATTAATTTGATTCAAATTGTAAAATCCATAATATTTTACTGTTAGTTTTCCTTGACAGATATTTCTTTTTCAGTAATATTATTTGGCTCTGGGCTGAGGTGGTATGCAACAAAAGACAATCCAGTAAGTATCAAAACAGACATTTCTCTTTATATTTTTTTTGGTTTCAGCTCTTTTAACAGTTAAACCCATATTTTACTGCAATTTAAGACCAATGCTGGGCTTAAGCTATTGATCATTTTTTTTCTCCAAAGTTTTCTTTTGTTAAACTTGATTTTTAGGCCCAGGGTTGGGTTTAACTGACTCAGTAAAATATGGAACTTAGACTTGATAAATATATAAATAATTAGAATTGTATTGAATCATATGCATCACTTCGCTAGATTGATTTGTGGCAAAATCGCTTTGTGAATCTGCTTTTGTGTCAAAATGTATTATTCAGTATCCATTTCTTCATTGTAAAATCACTCAGTGAGATTGATTTCGAGACAAAATCACTTTGTGAGATTGATTTAATTACAAAAGAATTATTTGGAGTGATTTTTTTTTTACGTAATCGGACATGTGTCACATGCATGGTGCCCTGTATGTGTATGGGTATGTGTTCAATGGTTGAGAGAGGGTCCAGCCATTTAGGGGGCCCATGGTGTCTTGGTAGAGGGGGGGGGGGGGAGGGGCACTGATTTTACAAGGTAAAGTATGAGAGGATAATGACTTTGAGTGAGGGGAGAGTAGGAGGCATTGGAAAGGAATCATACATCTACATCTATCACCTTCGTGTCATGTTGTCTTAGCCCACTTCCTTTTCCTCTCCTTCCTTAGTCTCTTTAAGGGCAAGTACTTGAATAGGTAGACTATAGATGTAATAAACTAACCAATATCTCCTAAAACTCAAATAATTAGTCCTCTTTTTTTCACAAATGATTCTTAGTCACCATCTCAAATTCTTGCACAGTGACTGATTGAAATAACTAATATGACTGTTGAATTGATGATCCATCCATGCAGATAGGTTGTTCTTTACTCTACACTATAGTGATATACCCAGGGGGTTACAAGTTTCTTGATTTTATTGCATTATCCTCACCACAAACAAGTGATGTTTGCAAGCTCTCCTTGTGTTTGTAATCCAGGGTGTAAATAGGTATTGTGAGCTTTGTTTAAAGTGAGTCAAGATGTGCATTGTGATATCATTGTAGCTAAAGAACAAGAGATAAATGGGGGGGGGGGGAGAGTGGTGGCTTGAGTATTCTATATGTTGTGCATTCCAACTGGTGCTTTATTCGTCATGGGGGATGGCAATAATCATAATCATTAATATCATTTGCTATGTGTATTAAAGTATAAATGAAATGTGAGACCTCTTCAAAGTGACTCTGTAACATTGTCTCAGATTCTAAAACAAAATCTTGGATTTAGCTCGTGTTGGAATCATAATTATAAACCTTTAGGTCAGTCAGGAACCCCATAACTTTTACGAGTCGATCGTCTGTCTGATTATCAACATATTTATGATTGGAAATTGAAACTAAATTTTGCGTTTTTCTAACGGTTTTCATAACACTACAGTCTATTGGGGAAAATGAGTATGGTTAAACCGGTCACTCAAAGATTTTTACTTTGTTGAGGCACTTCTTGATCATTTTGAAGCGCAATTTTTTTAGGGCATTGATATCACAGACACTGATAACACGTAGGGCCATGCATCTCAGACTAAACAGTGCTAAAGATAAACTTGAGTTGTGGTAAAAAAAGAAAATTAATTCTCACAGAATCTAACGAAACTTACACTGAATGTTCAAGATTACAAATAAATGTCATGTGCCAAACAATTCTGAAGAAAATGTATACTGGCTGAGTAATGAGCATAGAAAGATAAGGAAATCAGGGTAGTACTGGCCCCGACACCATGTGTGTTGTCCCATATACATCTTTCTGTGTAAGTGATTGTTACTTTACCAAGACTCTGCCAAATTTATGATGATTTTGATGAATCCAGAACCTTGCATTACACACCATTACTTACATGCTATGTGATCAACTTTTCTGATCCATTCCACACCTTTTCTTTCACAATGTAATCGCATTACCAGAACTCAAGTTTATCTTTAAACGATACCTTTAAAGGCTTTGATGGCTTTGTTTAATTCCCTAATTGGAAGAAGCTTGCATAGGCTTAATTCTTTATTAACGACATTAGATTAGGCTCCTCTCTTTGAACAGGTGGAAATATCTGAGGCCCTATTCAGACCAGAGGAAAAACTTGTATAAAGAAACGTCATATAAATACTCAACATATAGCAGAAGGAGCATTCACACTTGAAAAGGTTTACCGATATTGTACAAAAGGATCATTATTTACAGAAACTAGTTGTCAGTTTAACGTGAAAATGACCAATACAGAGTACACTCTCTAATGACAAGTCCTTCCCAGTTATATGGTTTTTGTACGAGATAAAGTTTAGATGTGAATGGGGCTCTGATTCTCCATTGAGTTTTCGTTCAAATCAATGCTCAAAAATACCTTTTTCTATTGACGTTCCATTAAACGATATTTCATTTTACGATCCCCACATGAAAAAAATGAAGAAAACATACTTGTCAATCATATAGCTTTGACCTTTTTGTATACCGGTAGCTACACAGTTTTCATATACATAATGTATGTATATGGAATTGTATGTGGTCTAAATGGGGGCGATTGAAAATGAGAGAAGTAATAAACACCGGACGATCGTTTCCTGGATATCTCCGAGGGCTTTGAAATCGTGGAGTCAAGCAGCTGTTCCCCAGAGGATATGTATCATATCATTGATAATCGTTCGGGGTGGTCGCAGCCACTGGTTATCCCCCCTTAATTAATTCAATTTTCTCAAATTGTCCAGCTCGCTCACTGCGAGATCTCCGTGGTTGAAGGGATGGGTTTTAGGGGTGAACTTGGATTAAGACCTTTCTCCTTTCAGGGGGGGGGGGGGGGGGCAGACTTTTCATTTGGAAGATAGATATCATTTCTAGGGGGGGGGTGTTATTTTTACCCTTTTTTGGGGGGGGGGTGGGGGTTGTAGATCTAATTGGGTCTTTAGTTTTAAATATGCAGTCTCATGTATGCAAATTTGAGTTTTGCCTTTTCAAGGAATATGATTTTCAAGCAATTTGTGTTAGTTTGTCAATAGCTTTATTTTTCTTTAATCAGTCCTGCTGATGCTACCTCTTTCTCTATCATTATTTTAAGATTCTTATTTTCTGGTAATTTTGTCCATGTCTATTTCTTGTATCTCTCTCTCTCTCTCTCTCTCTCTCTTCTTCTTCTTCTTTTTCTCCCTCCCTCCCTCTTTCTCTCTCTCTCTCTTTATCTCTATCTCTCTCTTTCTCTCTCTCTTTTTTCTCTTTCTCTTACTCACCCATGCTACCTTCTCTCATCCTCACCTTCATACACTCTCTCCCCTTCTCTTTCTCTCCGCACTTTTCAGCCTCTTTCTACCTTTCTTCTATTTACAAAATCATTGTACCCTTTCTTATCTCTCATTTACTCTATTTTCTCTATTCTTTTAGATGACAGGATGTTTCTTCTATAAGTCTCTCTTTCTCTTTCATCTCTCCCTTCTCTATTTTCTATCTTTCATCTTTCTCCTCTTTCTCTCTCTCTTTCTCTCATATCTTATCTCTTCCCTCTCTCCCCCTGTCCACACACAACATTTTCCGTGATTAGCTATACCGTTTCGCGATAGTGATACCGTTTCGCGATAGTTTTACGATGAAATTGTATGTGTGGACGCTCACTAACGATACGTCATATAACGAAACTAGTCTAACGAAACGCAGGTTTGGGCATCGTTTCGAACTGAAACTCAATAAAGAATCACGCCTAATCACGAATGTGTTGTGTGTGGACAGGGGGAGTGTAACTAGTGTAACTAACTGGGCGGGGCTTAACATGACCTGGAGCGAAAGGAGACCAGACTGTAGAGTTTCAGGATTACTTTCTTCTGTTTATGGACATCCTTGAATTTATACGATGATTATTTATATGACGTTTCTTGTGTGTGGACACTTTGAAATGTATACTATGATTCTTTGTACGACGTTTCGTTATAGAGTTTCGGGATAAATTGTTTTGTGTGTGGACACGCTGTCTGTCATCTCTTTTATATCTCTTCTCTCTCCGTCTTGCTTTCTCTCTGTACTTATCTCTCTATGGCTCCTTGCACTCTCAGTTTCCCTTTCAGAGTTTGTTCTTTCTCTCCCCCACCCATCCAAAAAGTACCTCATCTTCCTAGCGCCATTTTTTAAGATCTAAGGATGTTCCTCAAGTGTTCCTTCCTCCTATTATCTCAAAAAGCTCATCATGTGTCCATGTGAATTTCATGTTCTCCTTATACCAGCTGTCACAGTGTTATTGCCAAATCATGTAAAAACAAAGCAAATTCAATTTTACACTTCAAAATTATCTAGGTACCAAATTGTTACATCCCAGAGATTTTTTGAGGATACTTCCCATACCTTGTATTCTCTGTCGGTGCTAAGTTGATATGCAGTGGCAGGAAATTCTTAAATTGACCTTTTTGAAAGAAAGGCGCTTATGATTTGGGAACAAAACCGATAATAGCTCGGCCGAGGAAATTGGGAACAAGTGGAGGAAGTTGAGAATGGAAATCTGTGTTGATATGCTGCGAAGTTCCAGGGCTTTTGGAAGGTAATTGATTTAGAAGTGGCTATCTTTAAATGAAGCCATAATTAGGGTAATGAAGTCATTGTTCAATTCACTTATGAGTGTTATGATTATCATGGTTATGTTGAGTTGGGGAGGGATAATTTTGTTTAGTTTGGCATCCGTTCTTAATCTGTATGCTTTTGTTCTGAGAGGGAAATTAATTTAGATTTGCCCGTAAAGTTATGATAACATTTTCTTGGCTCTGTTCATGATATGATTGTGACAATATGATTTATTCTTGACAGATAAAACTTATATCTTCTCGGAACATTATTATTCAATTAAGATTGATCAACGAAGTTTGATGGACCTTGTGGTAGATTAGCCTTGTGCTATTTTGTGATACAAGTTATCAAACAAAGACTACTGCTGATGTTGCTACTACTTCTAAGAAGATAAAAACTTCATTTAT